AAAATATGGTAAATGTATCCATTGTAAACTACTATCTACTACTAAACAACTGTTATGTGTTACGTTACGTAACGTTAGTGAGTGTCCTGCTGATAGAGACTCTGGCCATGTCCACATTACTCCGTTTCCATTTGCAAACGCATATGTTTTGCTACGTTTACACTGAGCGTCCACACTACGCCGGAGTTTTTGAGCACCGAAAACAGAGGAGTTTGGAAACGCTCCCGAGGACAGATACGTTTGAAAACTCCGGAGTTGCTTTGTTGTGTGGAGGGCATAAACGCATACATTTGGAAACGATCACGTGTTCACTACTTGATTGGTTCTTAGCAGTCACGAAGTGTCCTTCCCTGATTCGTCACGCCCCTATCACGTGACCCTTTCCCGGAAAATCACGAACAACAGTCTTGATTATCGATCAACTACCAGGTTAATTCAACATGGATAACTGATTACAGGCGTTGTTGACCTTGTTGTCTTTACTAGCAGCTGTTGTCCAGTTAAAGTCTGCATTTTTGTAGAGATTAGTGAGCGGCGTTATGAGACCTACAGAGCGGCGGACGTCTGAAGTCCCGGTTAGAGGCTTTGAGGAGAACGGACACAAAACGGAGGACTTTCCTTTTCTTATTATTGTTTATTATTGTTATTATTTTTAAACTATCGTGAAGTCCACACACATAAACTATAAAGGAACAAAACATGGATTGCTCTCCAGTACGACAGAGACTTCAGCCACCAGCAGAGCTACGAGTGAGAACAGACAACGAAACCGACGGAACGAGTGAGAGAATTGTGTTGACCACATTTATGGACCCATAATCTAGTAAACTATATGTTAATATTAAAGTAAATTTGATGTGTGAGAGAGAGAGCAAGACCTGTAGGGTCCACGAAATGTGTCTGTTTGAGTTTATAGAGGAAGATTTTAGAGAAGATCTTAAGTATCAAACACGACTTTTCATTCTTAAAGACTACTTTATTACTCTGTCGTATTTTTTTTAATTAAGCAACCAATCTACTTCCTGTCTACACCGGCACCCACGCGCATGCCCAGTGTACGTGACTAGTCACGTGATATTCATTTTCAGCCGTTTTAGTCTGGACGGAGATCATCTCGAAAATGATGCTGAAATGCCCGTGTGGACATTGAAGATGTTTTGAAGGCAATCACTGCTTCTCTCAAGATTTGTTTCCTTGAATTTAAAAGTAAATGAATATTGGCATTAATATTAAAATCAGCCAAAAGCCCATATTGGTTTATTCCTGGTCAGTAAGCAACACGGCACCCAAATATCACTAATTCATGATGATTCCCAGCTGCTTACTCCACACAGACACACACACACACAGACACACACACACACACACACACACACACACACACACACACACACACACACACACACACTGTTGTGTTCTAGCAGTGGTGGAATGTAACTAAGTTCATTTAGGCTACTCAAGTACTGTACTTGAGTGCAAATTTGAGGTAGCATTTCTATTTCATGTAACTTTATATTTTTTGTCCACTGCATCTCAGAGGGACATTGACATATTAATACATCAGTGATATAGGCCTACCATAAATATAATATTTAAAATGGGTCATTCTGCTTAATGAGTATACGTTTACCTTTGGTACTTTTAGTATAATTTGATTCCAATCATTTTGTTTTTATTTAAGTTTATTTAGGTCTAGTAAATAATGTAATCATAAACACATTGATTGTATATATATGAATGGTGATGAAACAACAAAAAAGTAAAAAACGTAAAAGCGTAAATGCGTTTCCTGGCAAGTCTGATGGGTTGCCGACATTGCTGCAGGTGCGCCGAGAGCAGGGGGCTCCATTCCCCACTTGCTGAGAAAAATATTTTTGGTTCATTATGAAACTGTGGCAAGACAAAATAGACTGGCTGGTTGCCATTCCATCATTATTCTAAAATGGATTTATGAAGATTTATTCTCAACAGACATTAGAGACACTGATATCACTGAATATCCATTGATAGCAATTAAGCCGACAAAGATACATTCTTTATTGGTGCTATTGATAACATGACTAAGTTGTTAACAATGTTTTTTTTCAAACAATCCTTTTCCAGCAGATTGCTTTAAACAAGTGTAAGGGAACCACTGGAATGCTATGAATGCTCGTTTTATCATCTCAAAAACATCTCCAAACTCCACCCCACTTTAACCCTGTCAGATGCAGAGAAGCTCGTCCACGCCTTTATCTCCTCAAGACTGGACTACTGTAACTCACTCTTCACTGGGATCACTGCCAAGAACATCCAGAAGCTGCAATACATCCAAAACAGCGCTGCCAGGATCCTAATGAGAGTCCGGAAGTATGAGCACTTAACACCCATTCTGCACTCACTACACTGGCTCCCTGTCTCATTCCGGATTGACTACAAAGTCCTACTACTCACACATAAATGCATAAACGGACACGCACCTCCCTACCTACAAGAACTCATCACACCCCAAATCTCCACCCGCACCCTCAGATCTTCAAACAGCTCGCTCCTCCGGGTCCCCAACACCAAGCTCCGCACCATGGGCGACCGGGCCTTTGGCTCGGCAGCTCCACGCCTATGGAACAGTCTCCCTGACCACCTAAGGGCAACACAGACACTGGTCTCTTTAAGACCGGCCTAAAAACCTTTCTATTCAGGAAGGTGTTTCTGACCTAAATCACTGTAAGTTATTTATTTTGTGTTTCTGTTCATTCACTGGTTTTTTTTATGCTTACTAGTTATTTTATTATAGTTTGTTTTTACTATGTTTTAAACTATGTTTTTACTATGTACTGGCTCTGTGGCACTCTAAGATATTTTTAAATGAAAAGTGCGTTACAAATAAAATGCATTATTATTATTATTATGAAAAGATCCCCAGGTCAGTCATTTTTGTATTTGGATTTACCTGATGTCACTCAGTAAGTGTGTGCATGTGTGTGTGTTTGCCCATGTCTGTCTGCCTCTATGTTAACTCCTCGCTTCACATTTAAGGCTCCACAATGCTGGTTTTGTTGGAAAACAAAGCTGCGGGCCTCCCCGCCTGTTAGAAATGAATCACTGTAGAATTGGGAGCCATGAATTCTCCTTCACCTCCTCCTCCTTTCTGTCTTTCTCTCCCAAAACACAGCAGTTCCCAGGGAGAAGTGACACTGTGATTAAGAGTCTTGATGTGAAGAGCTTCCTGCTGAACAGAGTGGCAGGAGAACGACATAGAAAGGTTAGGCTTTCAAGGTAAGTGTGTGTATGTGGGAAGTAAAGGTGGGTGTCTAATGATAAGCCAGCTACTGGCAGACTACAACACATCTATATTAACACACAACAACAGCATTAAACCGCCCACCACCTCATTATTTTAGGTTATGAAACATCAGAGAAAAAAACACCTACACTGAGACACTACACACATGCAAAGTGCTAAATACACACTTAATAAAGAGACCCCCGCTCTTTCGCTCTAAAGTCAGGACAGCAGAGTCACTGCCTATTTTCCCAGCATTTACTCCACACCCCCATGCCCCATGACAAAAGTCTAATGTGTAATGTAAAGGCAATAACATGGCACTTCAAATTGCTGCAGAATGCCGTGATTTTCAACCTGCTGCAGTCACAGTGTGCTTTATTAAAGCTAAAATGACGATGTCTGCAGTACAGTCAGCTCACACAGAAACTTGATATATACTTGCTGGCCAATAAGAACTAGAACATTTTGCCAACTAAGACTTTTTTTTAAACGGTAAAACCTCACCTCCGTATCCATCAGTCCGCAGGACTATGGTATCTGTTGGACTTTAAAAGGATAACTAAAATGCAAGGACATTTATTAAAAATTCCTATTCATAGAATACTGATGTGACAATATTAAATAAACCCTTGTGAGTTTAAGGTGTGTGTGTTTGCTTGACAGCTGAATCAGACTGTCATGGTGGTTTTCACTTGTTTGCTCCACCCTTTCCACCGAGGCCCCGTCCCTAAGACCAAATTAAGACGTTCTCATTAAAATAAATGTTCAAAATTATGGTTTGCAGAGCTGGTGTGTGTGTGTGTGTGTGTGTGTAATAATTGAAGTTGTGTGCTCGGGAAAAAAACCCCATTCATACACAGCCCTGGCTCTGTAAACAGGACATCACGTCGCACAAACCAACAATAGACATTTGCAGTCTGTCTATACAACTGATTATCACTTATAAATACACAACCACCTCCCTCAATAAAGCCGTACAAGTACTAACCAGAAAAGATGACAAAACTGACCAACAATAAAAGAGACAAGCATTATTAAGCTACATTAATTAAATTTGCGGGCACTTGAACATCAGAAAACAGCATCGCCCAGGCAGCCAACATAGAGATCGAAAGACAACGTAAACACCACAGCAGCCCATAAACAAACACATTAGAGCAAAAACAGAGAGCCTGCCCAGTTTTCACACACTGTGTACTGCGACAAACACAAGGCTTAGTTTCTAGGAAACGCAGAGGTCGTTGTCATCCTCCTCTGTACAGTGAGTTATACAAATCCCTGAGTTTCTTGTAATCTGTCTGAACTTCTATCTGTGAGTCTTGTGCATCCCAACACTCAGCCACTGAATGTACACCTATATTATATAGAATATTAGAATATTTTTTATCTAATAATGTCAATGTCATAATGTCAGCTGAGTGCAGAGTGTCACCTCTCTGGATGTGGAGCTCTGCCCTCCTGTGACCACAGACACACCAGTAGCTTCTTCTCTGCCACCTTGCTTTTCTCCATTTTCACACAGTTTATCATGATTTTTTTAATGTGGCTCTTGTTCTTTCTCTTTAACTGCAATTCGAAATTTTGCAAAGTACAATACTTGAGATTAAAAATAGTTAAGTACAAGTAGAATAACATGTAAAAACTCAAAAAAAGTACACATACACAATAAATATAGCGAGAGTTAACGTAATTTGTGATTTTTAACCCTGGGTAAACAATTTTCAAAGAAACTCACCTGTCTCTTCATCAATGGCAAATCGTCCAAGTCCACTGCCATCATGAATGGAATACTGGATTTCTCCATCTCTGCCAGCATCATCATCGTTAGCAATGACTTGGAGGAGGGTAGTTCCAATCCGGGCATTCTCTTTAACTAATCCTGTCAAGGCAAAGTGGGAAAAGTACGGAGCGTAGAGATTTTCGTTCACATCTACGACCTCCACCTCTACAAAGGTGACAGAGAGAAGAGAAACAGGCCTTCCCTTGTCTTTGGCCTTCACAGTGAGGTTGTAGAACTGCTGGGTCTCGTAGTCTAGCTCTTTTGTCAGCCGAATAGCCCCGCTGGCCCTGTCTACCTCAAACCATCCATTGTAGTCGTTGGCTAGAGAGTACCGGACCTGGCCTCCCAACCCCAAATCTGGGTCCTGGGTTTCTAACCATGCCACAACAGTTCCTACTGGAAGATCCTCCAGAGCCCTGGCTTTGTACACATTGGGGATAAATAGTGGGGGACAGTCATTCACATCCTCTAATATGATTTTCAAAGTGATCACAGAAAACCTCTGGCCCCCTTTCTCTGCCTTGTCCCGGGCCTCAATCTTCAGGTTAAAAGCTGAAACAAACTCCCTGTCTAGTTGGCCAGCAACATACACTATCCCATTACTGCAGTTGATACCAAACTGTCTGGTGCTGGTCAAAACAGAGTATACAATCTCCCCATTAGGTCCAAGGTCTTTGTCAGTGGCCTCAACCTGGATGACATCGATACCTATGGCAGTATTTTCGGGTATGACAATTCTATAGCCTTCTTCTTGCAAAAACTGGGGTGCATTATCATTAGCATCCTCTATGTAGACAGTAAGCAAACGCCAGGCAGTTTTTTGTGGCAGGCCGAGGTCATAGATAGTTAGGTTGAGAAGATAACGATCCCTCTTTTCCCTGTCCATAGGGAGGAAGACACTGATAAGGCCAGTATCCATGTCAATGATATAACAGCTGTCAGTGTTTCCATCTGAAATAGAGTATAGAATCTGACCGTTGAAACCTGTGTCACCATCGTAGGCATTGACCTTGAAAACACTCGAACCAATTTTTAGGTCTTCCCGTACAGCAATATCTGTGGGGAAAGCTTTGTCGAACTGGGGTGTTTGCCGATTGACAGAGAAAAGGTCAATAAAATCTTCCTCGATCTTGGGCTTGGTGCTAGCTTTGGACTTTTTGAGTAACTTCTCAGCTAACTTTTGGGCTACCCTTGTCTCTTTACAGTTGAAACTTTTGGGAGGAGATTTGCCATGAGCAACAGAGATGTTAACAAACATAGGATCAGAAAAGTTCTCACCATCTGTTGCAGTTATTTTAATACTAAAGACACCGTTCTTTGGACTGGCTGTGGCTAGGGAATGTTGCAGTGAAAGGACCCCTGAATCAGGGTTGAGGTCGAAGTAACCCCATTCGTTCCCTGAAATTATCTTATATTTTACTAGCTCCAACTCATCTATGTCAATCGCAGACATTGTGGTAATCACTTCATCCACAGGGAAATCCCTGGAGATCACACCCTGACACGCTACCTTCTCAAACAATGGCTGGTTGTCATTTAAATTTTCCAGGTGGATTGTTACATTGACTTCACTCTCTCGCCTGTAAGGTGACCCCCAGTCAGATGCTCTTACAACAAATACAAAACTCTCTGATGAGGATTCAAAGTCCAACTCTTTAGTGGTGCTGATGATACCAGAAAACTGATTGATTTTGAAGGGTAATGGCTGAAGGCTGGAAATGCTGTAAGTTATGTATCCATTTTCTCCTTTATCCTCATCCACTGCAGAAACTGTCAATACATTGGTCCCAACAAGTACACTTTCATTGACCAAAACCTCATAAGAAGCCTGATCAAATGTTGGTGGGTTGTCATTGGCATCTTGAATGGTTACCCGCACTTTAACTTTGAGCTCACTATCTATTTCCAATACCTCCAGATTAAAGACATCCTGGGACACCTGAGTGAACCACTGAGTGGTGGAGATTGTGCCTGTTAGTGTGTTCATCTGAAAAAAAGCTGAATCTGCAGAAGGTGTCAAGATATATTCTGCATCATCCGGCTCTGGCCTGATTTTGACAGCCTCTACAATCGTGCCTGGTGGTGAAATTTCATTCAGACTAACATCATACAACTCTCGCTCAAACGCAGCTTCTGCTGTCTGCCGTTTCTTGACCATAATGTGAACAACCTTGACAGAAGAGAACTTCTGTGGGGCTCCCCTGTCTTTAGCCTGCAAAGTAAGGTTACATCCATCAGGGTAAGTTTCCCAATTTAATGACTCGGAGGCCTTTATAGCAAACTCACCTTCCACAGATCTTTCTACAAAAAATTGCTCTGAAGGGTCTCCACCAACAATGACCACTGAGTCTACTTCTCCATTTAAGCCTTCATCTAAGTCTTCAACAGTGACCATGGCATACACAGGGTTTTTATCAAGCCCCGAGGGGCTGTGGATGACCACATTCATGACTGGGGCATGCTCATTCACGCGCTCTACATGGACAAAAAGTTTGGCTGTGCTGCTGACCCCATTATTTCCATAGAGCTTCATGCCACGGTCTACCGCAAGGATTTCTAAGTCGTACCGGTTCTGCTCATCAACATTTAGCTTTCCACTGAGAGAAACCACTCCACTGGTTGGGTGTACAGCAAATAGCTCAATTTTCTCCTTGAAAAAATAGTAAAACTCCCCATTGGAGCCAATATCTGCATCTGTGGCGGTAACTTGTGCTATGCTAGTCCTGAGAGGGGTGCTCTCCGCTATGGTGACGGAGTAAGTAGTGGGTGAAAACAAGGGTCGCAGGTCATTCATATCCAAGACCTGGATGCTGACTTTAGTCCAGGTCTCAAGGAGGGTCTCTCCCTTGACAGAGGCTTTTACTGTCAATACATAATTATCCTGAATCTCTCGGTTCAAGATAGCTGCGTTGCCACCTTTAGTCCTTATGCGCAAGAAGCAGAAGTCGCCCAGCATGTACTCCTCTGCCTTGAAAAGTCCTTCATCATCACCTGATGTGATTCTGTAGCGGATCTCCCAGGAGCGCTGGGCGAGGTGGATGCCCATCTTAACTTTACTGTCGGCATAGGTGCGTGCTGCTGAGTTTTCGTAAACCATAGCGTGATAGACAGCCTGAGTGAAGCCAAAGTGAGGTTCATCCTGAAGGCCACCCTGGGTGTTCTGGCCGCAGCAGGGTGGTGGCTTGAAGAGCAGCAATGGCAGCAGCAGGGCCAGGCCGAGGAGAGGGGCTCGCATCCCTGCCCACTGGCCCATTTTCACATCCATCCCATCATCCCTCCATCCTGTAAAGAAAGAGACAGACAGAGACAGGGGGACAGAATGGTTAGCTACACGGGGAATTTACAACATGTAGCATAGACTTATTTTATCCTTATTGTTATGTCTATTGGACTACAGAGATTGATTGGAAGTGGGGAGGGAAGGGGGTGTCCACAGTTACTGGGCAACCAAAAGAAAGGCTTACATCATCCTTGCGTGGCCTCAATCAGTCAATCAACAGTCAATTGCATGTTTAAGAAAAACCAGAGGTGGTTTGAGAAGGAACAAAATAATTGCATGGCTAGGATGAGAAGCGTAACATCACCAAAACAAACACTAAAAAAAATAAGTGCAGAGGGCAAAATGTCGGGCTGCCACACATGACCCTATTATAACCCATTTCCGGAAATACATGAAAACTCCAGCCCAAAACCATGTAATATCTCCAGATGCAAAACAGTTATGGTTGAAACAGTCAACTAGCTGCTGTGTTCAGATTTTGTTCTCTTTTTTAAGAAAAAAGTGTTCTATAAGTAGGCAGCCACAGATATGTGCCAATCTAGGCTCTGGGAGAAAAGCCAGATCCAGTGAAAGCCATGTTGTGGCCATAGGAGTGCCACAGTGGTCTGCAATTTGATGACTCGGCACTTTCCACCACAAGGGATGGAGAGATGGGGTGGGAAAAGACAGACGGTGTCTGAGCGCACTGATAATAACACACTGCTGAAGTGCAGAGCTAAATCTACACTATTTTCAACAATACACGCAGTTACACTCACAGACACACAGCTCCTGCAAGAGTACAACCTTTTTTTTGTTTCAAACAGGAACTGATCCAGTTTTCACTTCTGACTCACAGACAAAAAAAACCAAACATTTGGCTTTGCGAGTGTGACCAAAAACGACCTCATCTGAAACAAAGCAAACCGAGGCTTAAGCCTGCATCTAAATGCAATCCAACAGTCATTCAGGGAATAAAGGCTGGAATCCAAACGATTGAAATGCCAAAAACACTTCAGTTCGTGTCTGACCTTAAACTGTCATCTCAGTGTCAACTTCAGTCAGTGACGGCGGTTTAGAGGACTTTTACGTTGGGTGTCTGAGAGTCTCAGTCAGCCATACTGGGTCAGTACATCTCTCCTTTGAAAAACTAGCACTCGCAGGGAGGCCCAGTAATGATGCATCGACACTGCAGTAACCATTTGAATCCTGGCTGATTTCTTTCCATTTTCACTCTTCACTTACAGACTCATGGCACAGTCACTATATGTCTGGGACCTGAAATGATCTGGATTATTTGCCTGTATTTCCACTCTGCAGATGTGTGTATGTGAATGGATAGAGGACAGTGTTCCAGCGATATAACAACCTGAATTGTTTAACCTAAAGTTGAATAATATTATCTGCATTATAAATCTGCACTAGGTAAGGTCATGCTGCATTAGCAACTAGCGGTCCTGTCTGCACTGTAACCATTGATGGACACACAGCAATCCCGAGATTTGCTGCTAAAGAAAGCCTCGAGACATCAAAAACAGATTTTAGACGTTTATGTTTTTTTAGGACATCAGAGATCCTGCTGATTCCACCACTATGTGTGTGTTCCAGTGGCGGGCCGTGCATTTTATACCTGGGCCTTCAGTGCTGTCCGACAACAGTTCCACCTCCTAATAATCTCATTATGACGCCACAGCTACGGTTATTATTTGTTTCTAGGGGTGTAACACTACACGTATTCGTATTAAACCGTTCGGTACGAGGCTTACGAACCGAACAATACGTTTGAATAATGCTAGTGCGATTGAAAAATGCAGAAGCTTAAATTAAGGGAAATATAATGTTTTCGGTGGACTTTGCTCAAACTGGCAACCCACATGATGTAACAGACAGCTGTCTGACACTCCGACCCCGGAAGAAAACGCGACGCTAAACTAGTTTAGCAGGAAAACAATAGCAGCAAACACGCTACACTCTCCCCACAGCGTTTAGCTGTTCTCTACTGATTCAAACAGGGCTAAAGCAATCGCCACACAATCCCCATTTCTCCAGACTATAATTCTTGCTTTGTAAAACAAAACAAAACCCCAAACAGAGAATCAAATGTCCGACCCTAACCCCGTGATGACGGGATGCTTCGTCATTAACGGACAAGTCAGAATCAATGTAATTAACACAATGACAAGAACCAGTCACATGACATATCAATCCAGCAACTCTGTGGCACTAAAACAGTATTCCACCGCACACTAAAGAACACGAGCCGTTCAAATATTATTCACATCAGAGGGAACATCAACTGTATCATAAAAATGACACGATCAACAAATGAACACAGTAGTAACGCTACTGCAGATTTAAAAACACAAAAGCACTTCACTTACCAAAGCTGCTGTTCACTTAAAGTCCATCCTCCTTTCTTTGATTACAAAGAGTTTAATACCGCGGTTGTACAGAACATTGGTTCAGTTCAGTTCCAGTCAGAGGTCCTCCTGCGAACGTATTCGTTGAGTTGTAGATCCACTTGGGTCTCGCCGAAAGTTTTCAAAAGCACCGTAGCTTGCAAGTGTCCTGTCCTGCTATGGTGTCGTTTTGCTGCCTTGGTTAGAGTAGCGTAGCTCCAAACAGCTCCAAACACCAAGATGCTCAGTTGCAAATAAAACGCATTGCCAGCCATAGCTGAAATACCGTTCGTACAAATCCTTTTCCATGCTGGGTCAGGGCTGCTAGCTGTGGGGTTGACCGACCCTTTGATACGATGTCCAGCTTTTCCTGAAATGTCCTTCTTGAGAAATCGTTTCTCCTCCTTCAGCCATTGAGTGTTAAAAAAACAAAGCTAGGTAAAAAAAAAAAAAGAATCGACACCAAGCAAAATGTAAAAAACGTCATGTCAATGTCATAACGTCTTACATATCTTTCAACTTGAACTGTTACTACTAATACTAACTTCTGCAAGCTGCTTCAGCTTCACAACAGTCACGCTAGCCCACTGACCAATCACGGCGCACGTTAATGCTGAGCCAGCTACACGTTAATGCTGACGTACTTGTAGGCCAGCTAGCAGGCTCTGACATATGAAAGAATACGCCAAACATGTCATAAAATATAATCTGATTGGATAAAAGCTCTACTTAAAACAAGCTGCACTGGAAGCAGAGCAACTGAGGAAGACAGTAGCTGTGCAATGAGAAAATAAGATAATGGGAAAAATATTTTTATAAATTACAATACATGTAGTGTGTATTTAAGAAACATTAAATTATAAAATAGCTATAACTTTGTGATTCTGTTTAGACCAGCAGAGAAGGCTTTGCAGGCCCTGACACCCCACCACTGTTGTGTTCCAATATCACCAGTTTATGACCCTGTAAATTGGGTTAGTTGGGTTCAAAGGCTTGATCTCCCTATATCTCATCGGTATTCATATGGGATACCAGGCCCTTGCCTGGGATACCAGGCAAGGGCCGACAAGATCAAACAACAAGTCGAAGTCCATTCATCCTTTTATGGTGCTTATTATTACTATTACTATTATACTATTGTAAATGGCGCCGTGCCAGCGGCAGCCTGTTGCAGCAGCTCCCTGTGTGTGTTTTAATTTTAGTCTTTTTCACTCTGTCCTCTCTTTTAGCTTTTTCTTTCTCCTTAACGTTTGGTTCTTACGGTCAGACAACGGACCGTAACCTTTTTTCTCAACTTTTCTCGTGGCTTTCTGTTGCTTTTCTGTATCTGTGTAAGGGAGAGCCACACACAATGAGCGGGGCCACACACAATGAGCAGGGCCATTGTTTACTCCCGTGATCAGCTGTTCGCGCTGAGTGAGCCGCGGCTGCTGCCCGGCGCCAGGCCTGTGATCCCTGCGGAGCTACGGAGAAGACGCCGGGGCTGCAGATCTGGAGCCAAACGGAGGGCGAAGAGGAGGAGGTACAAACCTTCAGTACCGGCGATACTACTGGGGAATGTGAGGTCTTTGGCAAATAAGACGGACGAGCTCGGCGCGCTGGTAAAGACCGAGAGGGACTTCCGCGAGTGCAGCGTCATATGTTTCACTGAGACATGGCTGCACGAGGATTTCCCGGACCACAGTGCGTCGGTGCCCGGCTTCAGGACTGTTCGGGCGGACAGAGACGTTGTTCAGAGCGGCAAGAAGAGAGGTGGCGGGATTGCTGTGTATGTGAACGAGAGGTGGTGCAATCCCGACCATGTGTGTGTTAAGGAACGCTTCTACAGCCAGGACATTGAACTGTTAGCCGTGGGGATGCGACATTATTTGCCGAGGGAGTTCTCGTCCGCCATTGTTGTCGCTGTGTACATCCCCCCATCAGCTGACTCCGAGACAGCAGTGGATACCATCCACTCCACTGTGTCTGGACTGCAGATTCAACATCCTGGTGCATTTTTGGCAATCACTGGAGACTTTAATCACACCACCCTGGATAAAGCCCTGCCAACTTTTCACCAATATGTTGACTGCCCCACAAGAAATAATACAACCCTGGACCTTCTGTATGCTAATGCAAAGGATGCATACAGTGCCACTGCCCTTCCCCCCCTTGGCAGGTCTGATCACAACCTGATCCTGTTAACACCCAGGTATGTTCCTCTGGTGCAGAGGCTGCCTGTGACCACCAGGACTGTGAGGAGGTGGTCTCAGGAGGCTAATGATGCCCTGCAGGACTGCTTTGAGTCAACGGATTGGGGTGTGCTGTGTGGACCACATGGGGAGGACCTCAACAGCATGACGGACTGTATCACAGAATACATCAAATTCTGTGAACAAACCATCATACCATCCCGGACTGTACGCTGCTTCCCCAACAACAAGCCATGGATCACCAGTGACCTGAAAGCTCTTCTTAACAAGAAGAAAGCAGCTTTCAGGTCGGGGGACAGGGACGAGCTCAGGAGAGTCCAGCGCGACCTGAAGATGAAGATCAGAGAGTGCAAGGACACCTACAGGAGGAAGCTAGAGGCCAAACTCCAGCAGAACAACGTGAAGGAGGTGTGGACTGGAATGAAGCAGATA